TCCAAAGTTTGTACGTTTCTTTTTTAATTATTTCCAAAGTAAATTTTCCATAAAAACAATAATTCATTATGCAGTTTATAAAACAATAAGTGCACGAATTTGTACGTTCATCCTAATATTTAGGTGTTAAAGTTTTCCTGTGGTATCGTACAATATTATTTTTATTCTGATTCAATTTATATGATCATTGTCATTTGATTTATTCAGGTGCTCAATTTTCTGATACGTACAATACTGTTTGTATTTTTATTTAACTTATATGATCATTGTCATTTGATTTATTGGAATGAATCCACAGTTTGTACGTTTCTTTTTTAATTATTATTTCCAAGGTAAATTTTTTCTAAAAACAATAATACATTATGCAGTTTATAAAACAATAAAGGAACGAATTTGTATGTTCATTCTAATATTTAAGTGTTAAAGTTTGCCTGTGGTATTGTACAATAGGATTTGTTTTTTTATTTAACATATATGATCATTGTCATTTGATTTATTCAGGTGTTAAATTTTCTGATATGTACAATATTGTTTGTATTTTTATTTAACGAATGTGATTATTGTTATTTAATTTATTAGAATGAATCCAAAGTTTGTACGTTTCTTTTGTAATTATTATTTCTAAAGTAAATTTTCCATAAAAAAATACATTATGCAGTTTATAAAACAATAATTGCATGAGCTTTTATGTTCATTCTAATATTTAGGTGTTAAAGTTTTCCTGTGGTATCGTACAATACTGTTTTTATTTTTATTTAACATATATGATCAACGTCATATAATTTATTTAATGTTTAAGTTATTCTGATAATGAATTTTATTATTATTATCTTAGACGTGTCGGTGAGTTACGTTGCACAATTGGATATAGTTGGATCTGGGTTGCAAATATTGGATAACGATGCATTGGAAAGTTCAGTTGGTGTTGAAGGTTTAGGATTAATGAGTAATCGTCTCGCAAGTATCGGTGACACGTCTCTCAGGTAAATTATTTTTAATCATATCAAATATTAAATATATATTTATAAATCCTACATATTGCAAATTGGCTGTGTTTGTGTACCCTTGTTTGGATTTATATATAATATATAATAATAAATAAAAATATATATCAATTTTTTTATAGAGTCGTAGCTGACAGTTTAATTTCATTGGATTTAAGTTACAATGCTTTGGAAGAAATACCATTTAAAGCATTCGGTGATTTGAAAAAATTAAATTGGCTCAACATGCACAGGTTTGTCGCTAATTTATTTAATCCAACAACAGATACAAACCTATTTTATTATATTTTTTTCTAGCAATCATTTAACATCGTTAGACGGTGATTGGGGTTATTTGAGAACAACATTAAGAAATGGATTTTTCGGTGACAATTCGATCATCGAAGTACCAAAAATCTTTTCAACATTTGAATCACTGATTTGGTTAAATTTGGATAACAACAACATCGAACATTTATCAGAGGAATCTTTGTCACCCAATTTAGAAACACTTAGCATGAATAATAATTTGTTGAAATCTTTTCCAACCTCGTTAGGTACATTGACAAACTTGGATTGGCTTTATCTTCGTGGAAACGATATGAAACAATTGGAATTACCTGTTTTCCGAAGTTCGAGTTTGGAATCAATCGACGTCAGTGAAAATTCAATCGAATGGATTGAAATTCAAACGATTTCCAATCAAACACTCAAAGTTAATGATTTCAATTTGGACAGCAACAAGTTGACATCTTTAACTAGTGGTATGTTCGATCGTTTGGAAGCCAGAAGAATTCATTTGTCCTCAAATGGGATACGAAACATCGATGAGGATGCTTTTCGTAGCTTGGAAAATAGTTTGGAATATTTGAACTTGGAGAATAACGATTTGCCGAGTGTACCAATCGCCATTAATGGGCTCAAAAGATTGTCGTATCTTTATTTAGCAAATAACGATATAAGAAATATTTCTGCAGATAGTTTTAACAATTTTACTGATCATTTAAAAGCATTATCTCTTGCAACCAACAGTTTGGATGCTGTACCTGCGATTGCATTGGCCAAGTAATTCAGATTTTTATATTAAAATTCTTATAATTAAAAATTTAATAATCTTTATTTTTGGAAACAACAGGTGTCAAAGATTGTTGCATTTGAATCTCGGTTACAACAAAATCTCCCACGTGGAACCAGGTGACTTCGATTGGGCCGAGGATTTAGAAATTTTATTATTACGAAATAATTTTTTAACCAAACTTAAAGCCGAATCATTTAAAGGAGCAGGTGATGTTTGTTATAAATATTTCTTATTTTTTTTAAAATATTAATCATTAATATTTGTATTATTTACAGGTAAATTAAAGGAACTCAGTTTGTCGTTTAATCATCTCACCGAATTGGACGATGATTGTTTCGTTGGTATCGAGGACAGTTTGAATATTTTAGAATTGAGTTTTGCATTCGCTACGGATAATTTTCCTCAAAGGGCATTGAGACCGTTAAACAATTTACTTTGGTTGGTTCTCGACAATAATAATTTTCAATCAATCGAACCTACAGCATTTTATTCGTTTCAACAATTGCGCTACATCAATTTGGAATCTAACAGATTGCATTATCTACCGGAAAGAATATTTTTATCTAGCGTACACCCGGAATTGAAGGACGTCAAATTGGGATACAATTTTCTCGAAATGATACCGGAATCAACGTTTCATAATTTAACGGAATTGAGATCGTTGGATTTAACTGGGAATCGTATTAAAATACTTCTATCCGATTCCATAATGGATTGTCCGAAATTAGTTACGATATCATTGGCGTATAATAGAATTAATAAAATGGATAGAAACGCGTTCTACGGTTTGTCCAGTTTGAAATTTTTACATTTAGAATTCAACAGATTGACTAATTTGGATTTGGATGCATTTTCCGAAATCGGTGACTCCGAATTTGCTTTGAATGTTTCTTACAATGCCATATCTTTCATCGATTCTGGTTCAACTACCAATAATTTAACACATCTTGATATTAGTTACAACAATTTAACGCATTTACCAACCGAAACTTTTTGTGGTACGCCTGATTTATTGACACTTGATATTCGTAATAATTTTATCAGCAATCTCGAACCAGGTAAATTATTAATCAATAACTTTTATACGTATTATATTTATATTTCATTGATTATTATTCAATTACAGGAACTTTTGCACTTAATCATTTGCAAGTATTGAATTTGAAAAATAATAAAATCGAAGGATTGAGGAAACAATCATTTTACGGATTGCAATCACTCCAACAATTGGATTTAGGTTACAACGAGATAAATCAATTGTCTACGGAACAATTTAGGAATTTAAAAAAATTGAGAATATTGAATTTATCTGGTAACAAAATCCGATCTTTGCCTAGGGACGTTTTCGAAGGTACCAGATTGGAAATACTCGATCTCAGTGAAAACAAATTCACTGTAGTACCGTCACCGTCATTCATGGAAGTTGGTTATACATTGAGAGATTTAAATATGGCCGATAATTTCTTAGATCATTTAGATTCAACTGCATTCCCAACTTCGCAATTGATTTCACTGAATTTGGCACGCAATCGTTTGACCATTTTACCAGACAACTCGTTCGTCTCGTTAGGAAAATTATTATACTTAAACGTATCCCATAACAGTCTTCAAGCAAATTTCAAAGAATTATTTCATTATTTACCAAATTTAAGACAATTGTCTTTAGCCAATTCCGGATTAAGAATCGTTTCACCATTCCCATTGACGAATCTCAACAATTTAGATTTGTCGTTCAATAATATCGAAAGTACTACGGACAATCAATTTCAATATTTGAAAAATTTGAAGATATTATTGTTGACGAATAATTCGTTGATTAATATGCCAATCGTTAGATTAAATTTACTCAGAGAACTCGACGTATCTGGAAACCCAATTGAGGTAAACACATAAATCCCAAATAAAATAATGAATAATAATAATAATAAATCAATAATATTACAGGAAATAACGAAAGAAAGTTTCTTCGGTTATTTGCGATTGGAAAAATTGGATTTGAGAAATTTGAATCGAACCAGAACAGTCGACATGGATTCTCTTAGATCGTTGAAATATTTGAAGCATCTGAAATTACAAACTTGGCCACAAGCTGACGGTTTTAATCTTCGTGACATGGTCATTGGTTTGCCGTTACGTACAGTTGAGATACAAATTACGGAACATTTGTTGAAACATCAAATACAAAATGCATTTACCAAACAATTAAGAGAATTGACGATAACCGGTGGAGATTTAGAAGTTATTTCATCCGAAGCTTTTTCTACGATCGAGGGTGGAGAATTAATTCTTAGAATAAAGAACACACGAGTACGAAGATTTCAATCAGATATATTTCTATCGTTGACGAAAAGATTAACTCAATTGACGTTGGATTTAAGAGACAATCATATCAACGAGTTGAGTCCGTCTATTATTTATGGTAATTTATCTTGGGAAACAGTTGGTACTAACATGGTGGCAGGTAAATACGAATATCAATCTATCATTGATATAAATTTTTTAGAATTGTTAAATAAAATTTTGTTATTAGGTGGATTACAAGTATCGGGTAATCCTTTGGAATGTGATTGCGAGATTGCATGGTTGAGTCTTTGGTTACGTAGATGGCTTCGTGAATCACGTCAAATTCATACTGCATCACAATCGGATGCCAGACAATTAAGGACTATCGCTGGTCGAGCTGTTTGCACCGAAACAACACCTTCCTACTCGTCTGACAAAGTTTTGTTAACATTGGGAACACCTCATACAGCTTGTCAAGCGTCTGCACTTAGTTCTGGAAATTATGAAAGACTTGCTAGGACTTGGCTAGCTTTAATCCAACTGATTGTATTGTTGTTGTTTGCTAAATGACTCCTTCGTTGATCATTTTCATCATCAACGATTAAATGAAAAGAATTATACTTTTCGTAATCCTTCACACGTTCTATCGAGAGAAATAATACGTACGAAGAATCTTCGTGTGTGTGTGCATGTGTGTGCATGTGTGTGTGTTGAGAAAAAGAAACGGCAGTTTTGGAATTGGTATACAACGAACTTGTTAGAGAAACAAAATCTCAGATCATTGAAACATTTTAGATTAGTTAGAAAAGTATACATATCGTATATTAATCGTATACATATCGTATACATATCCTTTGTATATATATATATATTTAATATGTATAAGTGTGAACGATATTCTATGAGTGTAAGAATAAGTTAAAACGTATGAATGATTTTTTTTCCTTCGAAATATTTTTACAATTAATATTCGCGAGGTTTTATATATTTGGTTTTAAGAAATTTAATGTTTATATTATAGATTGTTGTAACGCCTGAAAATATGCAACGTTTTATACTTTAACGATGGTTAGAATTAAAACCCCTGCACATAGAGTTTTTCTTACAACAAGTGTGTATGAATGGTTGCATATTACAGGGGCATACAACTCGTGTTTTACATATAAACGACGATAGAAATCGTTGTTATCGACATAGTACGCCTGAAAATATGCAACGTTTTATACTTCAGCGATGGTTAGAATTAAAACCCCTGCACATAGAGTTTTCTTACAACAAGTATGTACGAATGGTTGCCTATTACAGGGGCATACAACTCGCGTTTTACATATAAACGACGATAGAAATCGTTGTTATCGACATAGTACGAAGTGTTGACTGTTTACAGGGGTTTTACTTATTCAAATTTTTACAAAAAATCGAAAGATTTCAGATTTTTGTTAAATTCTAAGATAAAATCTGCCGAGAGAGATAATTTCTTTTGTTTTTTCATAATACAAAAATTACTCGAGTAATTTTGTGAATTATATATATATATTTTTTTTTTATCTAACACAAAGTAAAGCAAAGATCAAATGTTAGAAAAATGATTGTTTCTTTTCGAGTGTGCGAGTGTGTTTTGCTTTGCGCGTATGTCGATGAATGTTAAATGAAATTCTAGATTGAAAACATTGTACAAAATTTGTTATCTAAAGTTTATGAGAACACGTCGTCCCTCTCGTTAGATCCCTTCATCAAACAAACTTATTCTAAAAAAAGAAAAGGGGGCAAGAAAAAAATTAAATAAAAAGAAAAGAATGGTCATGAAAGTGACGACCAATCGGATGTGTCTGTTAAGTTTCTTTATTTATTTACAAATAACTTTACTTCGTGATTTTCGTCCATGCTTTATACAAATGACAAGTATAATATTTATTTAAAAACGGGGGGTGGGGGAGGGGGAAGGGTTTGTATAGGAAATGGGGTGAATAAAAATATCGCGTGTCTAAATTAGCGAAAAATAAAAATAGAGAAAATGAGAGAAAGAGAGAGAGAGAGAGAGACACGGACGAGAGAAAAAAAAGACAAAAAAAAAAAAWAAAATTTGAAGAAAAAAAAAAAAGAGAATCAAAGTATAACTAGACCCTAGGGTAGAGGGGTGAAAGGGTGAAAAAGGGTAGTGGGGTGGGGTTGTAACATCGATCGATAATCGTTTATACGAACGCAACCATTTCTTTCGATTTGTGTTCTTATTTTTTTTTTCCGTTCTCAAAATTTCGTCCACTTTTCTTTCTTCGTTTTTATTTTTGTTTTATATATATTTTTTGTTTGTTTATTTTTAAATCTACGTATTCGTGACGAACGTTTTTCGTATTTCAATCGTTCACCTCCTGTTGCGGAATAAAAAAAAAAAAAAGAAAAAGAAAAATAAGATGATTTTCCTTTTTTTCCAATCGCATCAATTCCTCATTTCCGTTTACTTTCTCAATGGTGGTGCTTGAGTATGGTGCAAACAACCCTCAACGTTTTCTGGCCAATCGCAGACGTTCTCGTTCGGATTGAAAACTAAATTTACCGGACAGGGCATGTGATGTTTTCGTTCACCCTCGCACATGTAATACATCGTGCAATCACTTTTGTCTGGGTGATAGGATATGTGATTGTCCTCCTCGTCGCAGGTCACTTCGTTTGCTTTAATAAAATTAAAACAAAAATTAAAACATAATTCGACTCGATTGAATAACTCGAGCAGTTATTTTTTTTTATTTCTTTGAAGAGGGTTGGATAATTATTTTAACCCTTTCGTTACAATACACTTTGTGTGTGATACACGATTTTATTATTAATTTATTTATTATTAATAATATCACACACACAAGCATAATATACATATCGTATTAATATAATTATATTAATTATTTATATTATATTATTAATTGTTTTATTATTAATAATATTAATACATATCGTATTAATATAATTATATTAATTATTTATATTATATTATTAATTGTTTTATTATTAATATTAATACATATCGTATTAATATAATTGCATGATTCCACCCCCTTTGATAACCTTCTATATGGGTTAGTAGTAACGAAAAGGTTAAATAACAATTATAATGAATTTTTATAATACTTACGATCTTTCGTTGTGTATTTGCCATTTCTGGAAAAGGTTTCATAAGGTCCGTCGTATTCCAATTTAATTTTGTAATCCGACAATTCTTTTTTCATTGCTTTGATCAATGGGTATTTTCCTGCACCGCACGATCCTCGGAAATCATCCATATCGATTGACCAGATCATAACGCCACCGAAACCTTCCTCTTTCAACCAGTTCATCTAGGAAATGAAAATGTAAAAATAACATTTTCTAATTTATTTGTCGATTTGAATGAAATTGATGATCAATTATCGTTAACTTACTTTGTTTATAAGACTTCTTTCGTCATCAAAACCAACCCATTGATCACCTTTGTAAGCAAATGGTACTTGTTGTTCGCTATCCCATACCAAAGTCGTGTTTTCTTCGTTCAAAAATCCACAGACCTGATCGTTTCATAGTTTTGTATTAATTTCAT